ATTAATTATTTTAGTAAAAAAAAAGGGAATCATTTCGAATCCATTAGAAAGGGTGGAAGAAGGATTATGTTCCGATCCAACTGGACGAGTCATGTTAAGTTGCCCACTGAGTCCGGATCGAATGCGAAAAGAAATGTCTAGCAACTGAGACATCGAAGCCTCGTTTTCTTCACATTCGGCGTCGAGTTTAACTTCTGAAACAAAAACGCTTTCAGGCATTTGCCTGTTTTCGTGTTAGCTTAAAAACACCAACAACGAAAACATGTTACCATTTCGGAGATGAGAACCCAGTTCCACAGAGTATGAATACCAAAGATGTTCAGAATAGTAGTAACCCGTGAAGATGACTGTCTTCTGAGGTGCTTGGTCGTGTAGTCTGGTAATGTCCTTCGTCAGGTTCGAATCTCGGCCAAGAAACCAACTATTATAAATGAGTTTTTGAAGATTTTTGTCTTCTGGGATGTTGCGCCATGCAGTATGGTATAGATGCGATGAATCGCCCTGATGACGGAGGTAGTATGACCTCTGAAACGTCGGTAAACATCGACCAGACTACACAGCGCAACAACCCAGAAGACAGAAATCTTCAGACTCATCGCCCTGATGACGGAGGCAGTATGACCTCTGAAACGTCGGTAAACATCGACCAGACTACACAGCGCAACAACCCAGAAGACAGAAATCTTCAGACTCATCGCTGTGAAAACCTCAAATCATACATAAATGAGTTTTTGTTCACCGGCAAAATAATTTGTAGCATCTTCACGAGGAACCTGAACATCTCCTTCCCAGATCGTCATAACAATTTCTTAATCCACGCTACACAGCAAATGTAGATGCTTCAGCACCGCTAAGCAGCACAGAACCAACCAGCAAACGATAAAAAGCAAAAATTCTAACATCACCTGAGAGAAAGCGGTGAGAAAATTTTGGACCTCCCGTTCGCCACCAGCCCGAGTCTTGGTGTTCGATAATGCATTTCAAATGTCGATACGTTTTGAAAAGTGGATCCCGTGCGTTTGGACAGTCCCTGACACGGGCCTCTCAAGAGCGGTATTAACTTTTTTAACGGGAAATTAATCACGGTTCGCTTGCTCGCTGCTCGGCTGTTTTAATTCCGGTAAAAGTTCAGCGCACTGACACGCAGCTCTGTCAGAGACCTCTGGCGTGTTTCCGCACAGATATGAATACGGACCGAGATTAACCCAAGATAAAGTCTTCGCAGATAAAATAATCCGTTTGTAGACTGTTGAAAAATCGGTGTAACAAATGGAGAAGCTATTTACCGCAGAACGTAATCAGAGGTAACAGGCGACAGTGTGCAGTTGGCAGATACAAAATCTCTATTTGCACGTATAAAAAATACCCAACAGAGATTCGAAACTGCGACATTCCACATGCGAGTCAGACTCTTCATTTCGATCGGGAGGTCATGAGAGACTGATATTACCCTCGGTATTTCATAAATCATGATCTTCCATTCACTCTACGTAGATTGTTCGGCAGATGACTTCAGTTTTTATGACAGCGGCATTACGTTTCTCCAAAACGTTATCAGGACGCAAAAACCCAGAAAATCAAAATAACTATCCTATCTGCCGTTAAAACGCAAAATATAGAAAAACCGACTGATTTATAAGTTAACTAGCCAATAAGATAAACTACCTACCAAACAAACAAAGAAAACAACAAACTAGCTTCTACGAACCTAGTTGATGTTCAGTCTACCTAGACCGTATTTCGTCTGAAGTATATGTGATTAACCTCTTCATCTGGGTATTGCACCTCAAACATTCTTAAGCCGGATTATTTAAATAACATTTCTACCAAACTTTGTAAAAATCGGCTCAGAAATGTGCGAGTTATTACAGATGAAAGATGATTGGCAGGTAATTTTCTTGCCGAACGCAGCAAAGTTAAACAAGAGATTAGCCTTACATTGGCTCTACAAACCTCAATTATACACGGCAACACCAATAATGAAACTTGTTATGACACTGTGCCTCTGTCGAGGAAGGAGGGGTTAATCATTCTACAGAAGTGTGACGTGGTGGGGGAGGGTGGCCTGAGGGGGATTATCTGCGTATCTAGCCTAATAAAGTTAGACACAGAGCGCAGGCAGGGGTGTGCAACCCTTAGATATAAATTCATCACGAAACTGAAAGTCACTTTTTCGACGTAAGACCAAGTTGTCATACTCTTTTGGAATTCGGATGAATTTTGCTAAGGTTATATATAACACGCATGCGTATTGTGACCGTCCGCAAAAAAACACAAGCACTGAGGGTATATTTGTTGAACTCAGTAAGTAGTTATCTTATTTAAACCGGACTCATTCACAGAAAATTACTTCATTATATCGCGAAGCACCATTTCCACGGAAACAAATAAAATGTAAGGACCCAACTAGTTTTTGCACGAAGCATTCTGTAAATGCGTGTTCTTAATCATGGCATTTCAAAGATTCTAATTTTAATTTTGGTGCGTGTTATTTTTTGTTTTCGGTCGAACGGGCGCGAACAACACAAGCAGGCAAAGGACCTGAAGGTTCTCTGTAGCAGTTCGTTTGATGTACTCATTCCAGCTGGTTGGATACTTCAACCCGCCCTAGTTCGGCCTCACATTTGAATAATGCCCCAGTTTCACAACAGATGGCAAGTTGAAATGTCAACTCTTACAGCCATTGCACGACAGTGATACGCAGAAACAGAGCTGTTAATATTTATCGAGGATTTCACTTCCGGTCAAGACGGCAGAGTTTCTGTAAAAAAGCTTTTTCTCGTCTGCTAGTAAGAAAGATTTGAGACTCCTGATTTGAAACTCTCGAATTGCATACAGTACGAAGTAAGTGACCATGAAGCAGAATCAATCTTGAAAAACTCATCGGGTCAAGAAATTCTCCGCATTTTATAGAACCTGAAGTTCCAACATCGAGTTCAAAAGAGCCCCCACCAGTCCCTATACTGATACACACGAATATAATCCAAATGAATCCAACCGAACGCAATCGAAATCAATTTAACATAATCTACAAGAAAATGATCATAACTAACACAACGTAACCTGCCCCAATTAAAAATTACAAGTTGAATCAGAAGCATTGAGACGAAAAATCAGTGTGATGGCTAAAAGACGCGGGAATACTGTTCCAAGAAGTAAAGTGTAGCTTAGGAACGCAACACAAGACGACGCCGTGTCACAACGACTACCATCGCAATGCCGTAACAAGGTCGAATTTAGAGGTTAGAAGAACTGAAATTAATTACAAAACACAACACTGGAAAATCGACTCCAAGAGTCGATATGCCTATCATCGAGACGCGGAAATAACAATGCAAAATGTGTGGTTGTGCAGAGGGAACCAACATAACACGACGTTGGCAAAACGACGCCTACGGTTGGCACAACGGCTCAGAATGATAAAACAAGCCAAGAGATGCCCCTGGAAGATAAACGATATAATGATGGAAAACCGACCACCAGGGATGCGATGCAAACCACTTCAGACCAGCGTCAGAGTGGATAATCGTCCACGTGACTTTCCGCACACAGAGAAATCTGACCTAACCTAACCTGAATTTCCCTAAACTTACGTCATTTAACATAACCTTACCAAACTTAACGTAACCTGGCATGGCCAAACCCAGCCTAACCTAACTAAACTAAACTAACCTAACCTAACCTAATCTAACCCAACGTAACCTAACTTAACCTAATGTTGGTTGAGCTATTCTGTACGAAACAGATACCATCTGTCAATTTCATTCATTTTGTGTAAATATTTCAAACTAAATATGGAAGAATGCTATGAAGGCATTTGAATCAACTGCGTCACATGAAAATAAATCACTGTGATAAAACATCGAGACTCAATAAATGCCTCATTTAGCCTCAAATAAATATCTTCTTAAGTTCCGGTCCAAGTGACGTCGCACACGAGTTACGAGTTGCTGTACGCCTACTGAGGCCTCGAAAAGATGTCCCGTGGATATGTTACCCCATCCCCTTCGGCATACTTCTCCATATTTCCCGCTGATTGTCTAACCATTATGTTCACAGAGATGTCTTTCGCTAACATAAAACGCCTCGGAAAGCCTGAGTAGAATACTAGAGAGAGAGAGAGCTGGCATCCAATTCACCCACGGGAATTCTTTCCCAAGTGCAGCGCAGTTTCGATGCGAATGGAACTACGAGATGCCACCTATACTAAAACTCAGACAAGTTGGCGGCTGAGTGACAGTAGGGCTGTTGCGTTGACTGCCACCTGGTGAAAGCCGAACAACTCAACGTCAATCAGCCTTCACAATCCTCACTACGCATTTCCTCTCTCGAACGTACTAAACTGACAAGTCACAGCAGAGGCATCTGCTGTTGGATTTACGTAACTGAACCATTCTGTTCGCGATGGCAGATCTAAATACAAGGAAATAAATACTGCTTCAAGTAAAACGGCAAAGATAAAGCATTTCATGTTCCTGAGCTCCACGTTACGAAGGCATATCTGCATGGATGTTAGGGTTGGATTCGTAGATAGAGCCACTGATCTTCTTAAACTTGAATCTTTTTATTACGGGAATTAAAAATGTAGGGTAATATTGTAATAATCGAGTCCTATAAATGGCAACACTGCTTAAGTGTGGTCACACTGATTCGGCAAAAACTGATTAATACTGAACCACACTCGCAGTCTGCCACCTTCTAACAAACTACAGCGCAACAGGCCTCAGCAGTGTTGCCAATCATACATAGATACTTTAGTGACCGAGTTATCCCAGGTTTAAAACTGTTGACAGACAATATACTGACATTTGAAGATGGCCGTCTTGAGAACCTTAAATTATATTCATATTTGATAATACAATTGGTTTCACGACATTTTTAGTGTTGCCTGAAAAAAAAAAAACATTCTCGCAAAATGTCGCTGTCCCTGAGAAACAAAATGTCGCTGATCTGCCGACTCGATCGATTCATAGTTTAATTGCAATGTAACTTGTACTCACATTCCACGTCGACAATGATCCTCTTGCTGACGGAGGGGGGCACTCCGTTGGTAGCAATGCACAGGTAGGCGCCCATCTCTGTTCGGCTAATACGAGTCAAATTCAGTTGCTCGCCATTGTACACGTTCACTGCAACATAAATCACTTTCGTTAAAGCGTAACAGTGCTGACAACCGCGTGAAATATACCACAGGGCAAGGATGTTGGGAAAACTTGTTAAATAAGAGAAATTCAAGGCACTTCTGTACGTCAATATTGTAAGGGACGTAAACGAATATTAAAATGTTATTTTCATCATATAAACATACTGATAATGGGTTTAAAAAAACATTTTTTAATGTAAGATTCACAAATGTTAATGTGGTGTGTATACAGATGTAAGTTGAAGTGCCTATAAGTATCGAAGAATCTTCAGTCAGAATAAATGTGACAATGTCTAAACAGAACAACGCTTTTTCATTGGTCTGTGTACTCCTTCGATGTTGTCCTTCCATACTGCGATGCTGTATAGACTCGTAAGTATATATAAACGTTTCGGAGAAACATACTGCCTCCATCTTCAGGACTTAAGGAAAAATATTAGTCCTGTTGGTATGATTATTCACTTCCGAATGAAGTGACGTACAAGAACAGTCTCTCCATGGAAGTGACGATGACTCCACCAAGAGGGAGAAAGCGAAGAAGTGAGGACATTACTTGAAAGGTAGAGAACCGCTTGCCTATTATCATAAATATTTATGGCTCGTGTTCTTACGGGCGCAATGTTGCTCTCAGGCCATTCAGATGGAATCGTGTTACACACGTACAGGGGTGTACAAAACATGTTTTGTCTGTCTTTGGTGATAACCCTGCGATATGCTTCTCGATTCGCTCTTTTCACTGCCGCGACATCTTTATAATCTGGACCCGATTCCAGTGTCAACTGAGCCGCCGAGTTAGATGCGCGGAGGAGGGTCGAAAGAGAATGTTAACCCGAACAAAACATCCTATCCCCCAGTCTCCACAGGATTATTCTTTTACTTTTAGCAAACCCAGAATTAGTGTATTAAATATGTAACATTTTCTACATCAAATATTAAGGTAACTGAAATCGAAAATAATAGTAATGTCGTAATTGAATTATTTTTTAATATTTTCGGTTTTATTTGTAATTAACATTTTCGTTCTTCCATAAAATTATAAATAAATAATAAACAAAAACAATAATCATCATAGAACCAAACAATGTTCCTACCAGTCAAATAAAATATAAACGAAAGTTTAAAAAACACATAGCAAAAACAATTAAAATTATTAAAATTAAAATCAAATCATTATAAATGAATTTAGCGTTGTCAAGTAATTTCTTGAAGACAGCTTTGAAAATAACGACTAGTTTCAACAACGAAATCCAAAAACACATTCCATAAGCTGAATTAAAAATGAAAACTTTATGGCGTTTTTTGTTGAATCTGAATTACGAAAACGATGTGACGTCACGGAACTGTCATGTGTCTGTATGTTCATTAGAGCCAATTACGTGAGTTGAGAAATTTATTAAAGAGTCGACATTCGTAATAAATATGCAGAATACGTTTCAGTTACCATGGCTACAGACCAGACACCCGGTTTGGGTCCAAAATGGCACATAAAAGTCGCGTATTTTCCAGGCCGCTTCTATCACTGCCATCCATAAAAGCTATCAACGAATGTTCAAGTATCCAATACCCTGTTACCTCAAAACTGTTCTGCTTCTGTTTACAGCAATAACATCAACGTACACACGTGTGTAAAAAATAAACTGCACTTGAATTTACTAGTCATTGCGACCGGAGAGGTTTATACGTATTAAAGAGTGAGCTATTAAGACGGATATTTTATATTTTTCAACGAAACAACGTTCTTTTTGTAATGCTAATCGTAACATTAACCACACAGCTGGAGAATGGAACGGAAATACCTGGAGAGTTTTGAAATGTGGTGTTGGAGAAGAATAGAGAAGATCAGGTGGACGGATCGAGTGACCAACGAAGAAGTATTGAGGAGAGTCAACGAGCAAAGAAACATTCTGCAGGCGATTACACGAAGGAAAGCTAACTGGCTGGGACATATTATGAGAAGGAATGGATTACTGAGTGATATCACCGAAGGCCAGGTTGAAGGAAAGAGAGGACTAGGAAGAAGATTGATACAGCTAACCGACGATCTTAAACAAGGAAAGAAGATGAAGTTCCAGGAATTAAAACGAGAAGCTGAGAATAGGGAAAACTGGAGAGTTCTTTTTGGGCAGAGCAATGGACCTGTCGTAAGACAGAACACTAAATAATAAATAATAATAATCGTAACATTAACTAATTATTTTTGCCCTTTCAAAGGAGACGCAAAGGGAATTTGAACAAGTCGTCTGATTCCGAATTAAAATAGTAAAAAATAGTTTTAGAAGTTAATGACGAATACATTAAACTGTGCTAAGAGTATTTTTAACCAGTTGCAGCGGGAAGTTTCTCAACTAATCGCTAGCCTTTATTTCTTGAAAAGTTGAATGTTTGTCTTCGTTTCCAAAACGGATGTCAGACTGTGTGAAACGTTTGCAATTAATATCAAGCGTGTATTATTGCATCAGAAACCCTATTCTTCCAGTTTTAAACGATTCTCCGAAAGCGGGTGGTATATTTCTACCCCTGAGTACCTCGGTGTCTTGTGAAGAAAAAAAGTGGTAATGATGCAAATTTGAGGAATAGAAACTGGAAATCAAATTACATTCTTGGGAAGAACGTGTTTGTTCATTTGCATTCCGCTGTACGCTAGTTGCCTCGTCTACCCAGCGCGGGCCTAAAAGGAGGCGGCGCACCAGTTATACTGCAGAAACTCATGATACAAGCAGCAAGGCGATCTATTATAGTGCCGAATCTAATTACATGCGAACTGCAGAAACCTGTCCGAACAGTCATATTTATAATTTAGAATACCTTACGTTGTCATCACAGATTAGAACCTGATAAATACATTCAGTCGAAAAATTAAACGAAGGATAACACTTGGAAGACGTAGATAAGACGCTAATAAGGTTTGTTTAAGGATATAGGATATGAGCTGGATTCATCGGGTGTAGGAAAGGGTTCAGCGTTGTTGCAAACACGATAAAGAAAGAATTCCTTGACCAGGTATGCAAATATTAGCATATCTAAGACTACAATTCTTGGAATTGTTAGTTATAGAGAAGTCTCAGGAAGTGTGAGCGGTAACTACAAGAAATAGATGCACGCACGGAAAAAACCAGACTTCAGGGCCTTCGTAACAATGAGCTATTACAGCGAACCCTATTCACTGTATAGTTTTTCGGAGACAGAAAGTCACTTTGCTTCCGAAAGGTTCCGGGTTCAAATACCAACCCGGTGACCACCTATCCTGACTGTGGTTTTACGTGATCTACCTCAGCCCAGGAAAACACCGTGGTAGTTGACTCACATTCGACGACCGCCAATTACTTCCACATTTATTCGAGTTCAAGATTCTCCGATCATAATATCATCCGACGAACGTCTATTAAACGTAGCAGAGAATAGACAAAATGAAGGCCTCCTCACTGGCACCCACTACGAGGATCTGTGAGGGAGAAGGTAAAATTAACGACAGAAATAATGCAGATACATATTTCACAGGAACGACAAAATTACAGTTGTTGATTGCTTATTCTGTACTTCGGTTAATATGACACTCCTTTACAACGATTATAAACTTGTCGTCCGTAAATGGCGTTATAACTAAGTTTAACTGTAGTTTGAATAATCTAACTCACAAAAGAGAAATTAGCAGAGGAATTCGAGTTTTGCTTTTGTGCAGTCGAGATAATATAATGACAGAGAGGATCCAGTTTTATCCAACGCTTAACTGCAGAACGGGCACATACATTATTTCCGAAAGCGACAGTTCAATAATTATTAGTAAGCCTGTCATATTACATCCATTAAAATTTATACATTCTAATTTACAGTAAGGAATTTAAAAAAGTGATCATTGCACTTGATAATGATGATAATAATGTGATGATCACTGCAAAATCATTAAGTCCATGTGCATGTACGTTTCCGTTATTAATGTTGAGTGAAGAAACTTCGTTACTTGATAAACTTCGATGTGAATGTCACGCCATTTTGTAGTAGCCAATTAATTAGTTGATGAAGTTCCATTCCATAAAGTTGCTAACATGACGGCACTACGTATTTTTGAAGACAGACCAACACTAGCATAATTAATTATTGTAGGAAAGAAAGGTTTTATATGGTGAGGTAGCTTTAAGAAACATTTGTCAATGTGAAGGATGCCTTTATGTTCGAAAATGGAATAGACCCTACAACATCAATGAATTTCAACAGTGAGGTTACGCTTGAAAACTCCGAACTACTGAAAATTTACATTACACTGTAGTTTATCCACAGAGCTTATAACTTTTAATTTAAAAATGTTGCAGATATCTCGTTTCAAGGCGAATAATGTAGAAAACTTACGTAGGCCACGTTCCTTATAGTTTATGCCAGCATTAATAATAATGATAATAGGTAAGGCAGAATACTGTAACGGTACTGCTGACACAAAATTATTTCAACACCTTAAGGCCATTTAAATAGAGCAAAAACATTGGCTTATGAGACGTGAAGTTATCATGGCGGTGAAAATGTCGATGTTGGTCCTCTGGGTAGTTGATTATAGCCCTGAAGATGGAGGCAATATACACATCCGAAACGTTGGTATCTACCAACAAGTCCACACGACGTTTCTAGCTAGAAGACTAACGTCAACAAGTTTCACTTGATCGAGCGTTAATGTATAACGTGCGAACTGAACGTAATAGGTATGGTAGTGCATTACACCGACCCTCCTGCGATTTCGGAATGGCGTGTGCATCAAATTTTGCCAAAGACTCGCCAAAACGGCTACGGAAACCTATGCAATGCTAAAGCAAGCATTTGGGGAGTCCGCAATGGGTCGTGCACCAACTTTTGTGTGGCATTCACGTTTTAAAAATGGCCGAACCTCTGTCGATGATGACGAGCGTTCTGGACGACCATCTTCGAGCACAACGCCCGAAAATGTTACGAAGATCGACGTCGTACCATCAACGACTTGTGCGACATTGTTGGGATAGGCTA